CAGACATGCAACAAACACACTATAGTGAGAAAACAGCTAAAAGAAAACAAGCAATTGCAAGACAGACATGCAACAAACACACTATAGTGAGAAAAGAGCTAAAAGAAAACAAGCTATTGCAGGAAGGACATGCAACAAACACACTATAGTGAGAAAACAACTAAAAGAAAACAAGAAAAACAGAACACTCAGAACGCACAAACGAGAACAACAAATTTAAAAATCATCAATATCAACAATCAAAATTCCATATTAAATTTCTAATCTAAAGTTTAAAAAAAGAATACATCAAAACACGTGCCATTAGAAATATGTAAAATTAAGATATATATAAGCAATAAACATACCAGGACCCGCAGTTGTATGAGAACCAGGACCTGCGGTAGTTTGAGAACCAGGACCAACAGTGGTTTGAGAACCAGAACCTGCAGTTGTTTGAGAACCAGGACTTGCAGTTGTTTGAGAACCAGGACCTGCAGTTGTTTGAGAACCAGGACTTGCGGTGGTTTGAGAACCAGGACCTGCGGTGGTTTGAGAACCAGGACCTGCGGTGGTTTGAGAACCAGGACCTGCAGTTGTTTGAGAACCAGGACCTGCAGTTGATTGAGAACCAGGACCTGCGGTGGTTTGAGAACCAGGACCTGCAGTTGTTTGAGAACCAGGACCTGCAGTTGTTTGAGAACCAGGACTTGCAGTTGTTTGAGAACCAGGACTTGCAGTTGTTTGAGAACCAGGACCTGCAGTTGTTTGAGAGCCAGGACTTGCGGTAGTTTGAGAACCAGGACCTGCAGTTGATTGAGAACCAGGACCTGCGGTGGTTTGAGAACCAGGACCTGCAGTTATTTGAGAACTAGGACCTGCAGTTGTTTGAGAACCAGGATTTGCAGTTGTTTGAGAACCAGGACCTGCAGTTGTTTGAGAACCAGGACTTGCAGTTGTTTGAGAACCAGGACTTGCGGTAGTTTGAGAACCAGGACCTGCAGTTGATTGAGAACCAGGACTTGTGGTTGTTTGAGAACCAGGACTTGCGGTAGTTTGAGAACCAGGACTTGCAGTTGTTTGAGAGCCAGGACTTGCAGTTGTTTGAGAACCAGGACTTGCAGATGTTTGAGAGCCAGGACTTGCAGTTGTTTTAGAACCAGGACCTGCAGTTGTTTGAGAACCAGGACCTGTAGTTGTTTGAGATCCAGGACCTGCAGTTGTTTGAGAACCAGGACTTGCAGTTGTTTGAGAACCAGGACCCGCAGTTGTATGAGAACCAGGACTTGCAGTTGTTTGAGAACCAGGACTTGCAGTAGTTTGAGGACCAGGAGCTGTGGTAGAATTTTCTGTAAAAATGATGTCGTATATTAATATTGGAATTGGTGGTGTTAGAGATTGAGTATGTGTAGAAGGATATTTAGGACAGAAACAAGGAAATCTTTTCGTAGTTTTAGTGGTGGGAAATTGACAAGAGATCTGCGACTTGCTCACATTCCAGCGTTTCAGGATGAATTTACATGGCCTTGCCCTCGTTCTAGATTTCATAAGGTGCTAATGAAATTCGTTTTTACCTTTGCAAGAGCTACCAGACCAGTAAGAACCTTGTTCACATTCACACTTGTATCCACCGTCGATATTGATACATTGCTGGAAGGGGTCACTGCAATTGTAATTGCCTTGAGCACATTCGTTAATATCTAAAACAAACCACACAAAATGCTCTTTATTAAACAGCTCAACTTTTGGGTTGTGTGTAATTATGCTACTTAAAGGTAGAAAACTCGTGAAAAATGAAAGAAAAAGAATGAAATGGAATTTTTCCATTTCACCTTACCTTCACAAGTATAGTTGTCTCCTTTGAGATTATATCCCTGTTTGCAGATACACTTAAATCCGCCGTCGGTGTTCTCACAGTTCTGAGTACAAGATTTCTCCAGGCATTCATCGATGTCTGTTATAGGAGAAGAAAGGATGTTAGTGTTGCTAAAGGATGGTTGTTGATAGTGGTGCAAAGTGAAAAAGATTGGTGATGACAACGATAATTGATGATGATTAATAAAGGTGATGATGTTTCTGCTGCTCATGGTGCGATAATGATGATGATGATGGCGATTATGAGGATGATCGTGATGATGATCAGATGTTATTGGTCATCGAGTTGGTGATGATGATGATGATGATAATGATGGAGATGATGAAGATGATCGTGATGATGATCAAACGTTGTTGGTGATGAAGATGTTGATAATGATGATGGTGGTGGTGATGAAGATGTTGATAATGATGATGGTGGTGGTGATGAAGATGTTGATAATGATGATGGTGGTGGTGGTCATGAATTTGGTAATGATGATGTTCAAGAAGATGATGATGGTAATTAGATGATGATAATTATGGTACTGATGATGTTGTTCCATCCAATGGCAATGGTGCTCATTGTGGTGATGCTGATAATAATGCCAATTCTTAGTGATGATGTTAATATCTATTTAGATATTGACTTTAAAAAGTACCTTTGCAACTCTTTCCGTCGTCCTGTAGTTTGTATCCCTCATTACAAGAGCATTTCTTTTGATTGTTTTCCATGTAACAGACATGCTGGCAGCCATTATTGCTTGCAGAACACGGAGACTTCGCTAAGGACATCAAGAAAAAAAACAAAAAGGTGAGAATGTTTTTTCAGTGTTACGCTTTATATGTACGTTTTATGTGTGTTCTTTCAGAGTGTAAACATAATAAGCCCACAAATGCATAGGAATCACAATTGTATAGTCAGGTTGTAATTCTGGCTACGATTTTTGGAAAAACACATGTTAGTTTGGAAGTTAAATCATTTTCCATCATTTAGTCAGTTAATCAATTCTTYTCTTTCTTGCATTTTTGAATTTCATTTCTCATCCATCCATTCAATTTCTTTTATACTCACGAACACATTTGCTTGGATCGGCTGGATCCACCTTGAAGGCRGGGTCACAMGTGCAGATATAACTCCCAGGAGAATTGGTACATCTTTGCATGCATGTCCCTGGTCTTTGACATTCGTCGATGTCTAAAATAGGAGGGAAAAAGAATATTGCACCATTACGTTTAGTKTTTGTAATTCTTCTCGCTTGGGAACCTCAGAAGACTTTGGGGATAAGGATAGGAGGATAAAAAAGGATTTTAGTTTGTGTGGAAAATGTAGTCAAATAGACGACTTGTACTAACAGGTCACGTGACCCAATCCCCCATAAAAATAGCCAATGAATCAAAATGAACTCCAGAAATGAAAAGAACCTCAAATTTAGTCTCACCTCGAAATGTTGACTATAGAAGAAATGACAAATATAAAATCAAATGGGATAAAAGTGTTGCGTGGTAAGCGTTTGCCATCCATCGCATTTTACCATACAAATCCTTATGAAACATTTAATTTCATATCTAATGCCATTTGTCCCGTTTCGCTTATTATGAGCGGAAACTCCGCCTCCCTACTAATGCCGAGATGCTCTTTTCATTTCTGGTTCTTATTTTGGCTAAACTTCTTGTTTGAAGGGAGGTAGTCGTCTATTGAAACCATAGATAAAAACCGACATCCCAAAGGGAATCATTTCGACCTCAGCTAAGATAGTGGCCATGGCGACACAATTTAAAAATAAGATTTTTAATTCCACGTGCTTATTGGTTCTTACCGAATCAAGGAATAATTAGAATCGAATTAGAATAATTTTGTTCTGAGGTAACAGATGAAGACTTACCATCACAATTTTCCCCGTCTTTGTTGAGTATGTATCCATCATTGCACTGACATAAGTATGAGCCCGGAGTATTTATGCACAGTTGTGAACACGTTATAGAGTCGAGACATTCATCGATATCTGGGTAAAAGAATGTCAATAAGAAAGTTTAATGGAAAACTAAATAACAAATTGCAATGATAAAATGGAGTGATTCTTTGATTATCGAAGTTTAATTAAGAATTGCTTTAGGATGAAGTCAAACGTCGAACTTCACATGAGCCGAACCTAATTAAATCAATGGATAGCAAGGCGGTCTTCTCTGATGTCATTAGGTTCGGCTTATGTGGTTCAACGCTTGACCTAATTCTAGTAAGAGTGCCTCGTCTACCTGTGCAATTGGCACCACCGCCCGAGTGTCCCGTGGGACAAGGCCCGCATGTATAGCCCTGCTTGCCGCTAGGAGGAGGATGATCAGTACAAATAGCTCCAGGATAGCAAGGTCCACTATTGAAATCACAGGCGTTGAGGTCGCTTTCACAAAACTTGCCAGTGTAACCACTTTCACATTTGCATGACATCACTAGGAACTTATCACCGTTGAGATTGTTTGGTTGAGAGCAGTTTGCCCCATTTTCACATGCGCATAATGTTAGAGTCGGGTTCCAGATCAGTGATGCGCCTTTCGAGTCCCTGACCACGATGGTGAA